ACATTAAAAATTAAAGAACATAAATAAGTGTTTCCCAATAAAAATTTACTCAATTAACTACATTTACCTAGATAATTAAGTAACCATTTGAAAGAGCCTTAATGAGGCATCAAGATTTGATGAACCAGGCAACTAGGCAATAGGCATGCACCAGTTCATCCAAATGGGTGGTCGTTCTCTCCACCTAAACTCTCCACATGGCGGAAAATAAATGTCGTTGGCTCGTATCCGGCTTATTATGATATAAGCCCATAGGCCATGGCGACAAAAAATGAGTACCTTCGGCCACGCCTCAGACGCATGTGTCATGTGTTTTAGTTTTAGAAAGAATCATCCAAGGCTCAGTTAAGTCTCTGGAGCTACAGGACATGCTCGAATGGGCTATAAGGCTCCCTAACTCCCTACATGTTTAGATCATCAGGACCCACTCTGGAACCACTGGGCTGTCTGGCTCCCACTCTTGATAAAAGAGTTGCTCCGCCAAACTCTGTGTGATAAGATGGCCAAACACAAACATTACTTTACTCCCTCCATCTGTGCAATATTATATGTTAATCCCTTTTCGATATTTATTCTTTAATACCTTTATGGACTCACGGACCCTACAAACCAATTTTGGGATGACGTAAAAACTAATCACGTGGACACGACCTTCATTTTAAATTTTGTGATGATCAATTAATGCTACGAATCTCACTCAATTGAGGACTGACCCGGCTCTCAAATGGTAGAACTCTTTAATTGGATCGGCCCGATCCAAACGGATAATGCTATTTACTGGAATCGGATTCGCTTACGCTCCTCCAAAGTCCAAAGTAGTTAATGCAGTAAAGATGCGTGAAGGCTTTTAAGCACGTTACTACACCAAGCTTTAAGTGCACCACCCAAGATTTACTTTGTTATAAAGTTGAAATGGTTTCAACTTTTCTCTGTAAAAGATTTTATCGTGAGTTGTAGTTTTCCTTGTTACACCCCTTTCAGAGAGAGAGAGAGAGTCTATGGGCGACCAACTCTTAAACTCCTTTATTGAACCATGGATGGCGTAACAACGATCAAAATGATACGTAGTGTTACGGGTAATTATATGTTTGGAACTGGTTTACCCCTTGAATTAGACCAAACCCCTTTATTGAACCATTCGGTTTAAGGCCGGTTTACTCTTTGAATTAGATCAAACACCGAAACAGCCCCTGTAGAGTGTATCGAAAAGCGCTTGATACAATATATATATTGGCGGATATGCTCCAATATGTTGTGATTTTTTTTTATCCTTGTTTCAGATGAACTGGAAACTGAACACGGGCAATGTAAGACACAAGGGCAGAGTCTATTTTTTCTTTTTCAGGGAGGGGGCTAAATATAAATGGCATACAAGTGGGGACTTTTAAGGCATAGGGGGGATATGGCTCCCCTCCACTCCACCCTGCAATGAAATGAAACCAATGTTTCCAACCTGTTGCCCTGGATGGTTAAATCACTGACCTATTGACTCAGAGGGAATTAAACGGTTCAACAACCAGGCTAGGTTTTAAATAAAGCACCGTATGCGACCGTTTTTATTATTGGTTGGTTTTAACTTTTAACAAAATTGGAGGAACATGAGATGATGAGAAGCCTTCAAATTGAAAATTTTTCAATACCGGACCTTTTGGCTTATTATTTTACGGCACAAGGTCACGGCTTGTTCTTTAGAATTTTATACATCTTTGGTTGCATATGAAATGGAGTATGAATAGCTTCCTGATCAGTAATGGTTTTCAATAGGGAACGACCTGTAGATATAATTACAAGGATTGTCCTTTTCCTCTATAACTACGTACTATTCACCTCAGTGGAAAAGTTTATATGTGCAATCAAAGTAGTATTCCTGCGGAAATTAATGGTAGGGAAGATATAGAAGCAGGGGGGGGGCATAACCTTCTGTCCTACCTTTCACCTTTGATAGGGTCATAGCTAGGGAATTAAACAAAGTTATATATATATATGTTTTTTCCTAACAAGTGGAATGCTGAAAACATTCCCAACTTAAAAATTTGCAAAAAAATATGATTAAAATCTTAAAGGTTGTAATAATCATTGCAATGCCTATGCTTCATCGTTCAGCAATTAAGTGCCTGAACTGAAATGACTTGTTGCTATGTCTTTTAGTTATTCCTTAATGTCTGAAATTGAATCTGGGGTTGTTTAATATGCATTTAATTAAAATAATTATTTTATCCACTGAGGTTGCGTCTGGAAATGATGCAAATGGAGTCTAAATTTCGGTGTAAGGTAAATTTGCACTCTGATTCATTTTTGCCTTTATATATTTATGAATTGACAAATGACAGACCAATGCATATTAATTTATATTGATAATAAGATGTAAAAGTACATCAATAAAATGAAGTAAATTTGTATTTAAATGGGCTTTCGATTAAAAAAAAACATATGCTTTATTGAAATTCATGTTTGAATCCATTACAGCTTAGTCTGTTTGGTAAGAAGATAAATTTGTTAATGCAAAACTAACTCAACTTTGCAATTTATATGAACTGTTTTACACTACATATTTGCATTATTTCCAAACGTAACCTAAGAAATAAAGTGATGATCAATTTATTCAGTTCAACAAGTTCAACTGTTATCAATAAGCCCTCCAGTTGCTGAAAATAGTAAGTGTGCGTTATTTTTCTGGATTTTGAGAGGGAGAAAGTTGGTCAATGGGATTTTGGTTCCCATTGACCAAATTCCCATTGACCAAGAATCCCATGTTAATTTAACTGAGCGTTCCATCTTCAGATGTATTTAATTACCAAATGCATGCTAAGTTAGAGGCGACGCCATGGGTTCAAATGTCATGGAAAATTAAAATAAAATGATTTCATTTCACGTGACATCTTGGCATAGTAAGAGGACACTGAGATTCTTGTACTAAAGAGGCTATTTGAGGTTAGTCCAAACTAGTCCCGGCAAAGAAAGCCCTATGATTTGGTGCAAGAGTCCTAACCTTTTCATGACTGACCCTGCTACCTAGCTGTAGCCTATGGTGACATCTTGTTTTAGTCTTTAGCTCCTCAGAGATAGCTTCTCACATCGATCTCACAGCATATTTTGACTGTAGATCAGGAATATCTCTTGTACTTATATTTATTATCTATGAGGAGATGTTCCCAATAAAGAATGGAATGTGATTATGAGGTCGATGTGAGGAGCAGATCTCAATACTCCAACCTTCCATCACCTAGCTAAGTTGCGGTGAAAAGTGAAAATTATTGTGGTTGTCAAAAATTAAAATGGTAAATATACTTATCCGGGGTAAAATGGTACATTTACCCATTTTAATAATGGATTTTTATGATTAAAATGGTAATTACCTTATTTACCTAGGAAATAAAAGAACAAAGATAAATGTACTTATCCGGAAAAGAACAAAGGTAAATGTACTTATCTGGATAAGTGTTTTTCAAGAAAAACTTACCCAAATAATTACATTTACCCGAATAAATAACTTATTGAAAAACAAACAAAGTCTAAGATTTATTAGAATAATTCAAATAGAAAATGGAATCCAGGTCTCATCCCCCAGTTTGATAGCCTTTATCTATTAGTATTTTACAGGATAAATTGGTCAATTAAGTAATTAATCAATTTCTCGGCATTCGAATGCTGGTATAATAGGTCCCATGAAAAGATTATTTTTTTGGAGAGTATTGTTCCTTGCATAACTGGTACCCTCATATATGAGGTGGATAAATTGTTTATCTATAAAAAACATTAAAAATTTCACACCACGGTATTTATCCAAGCATCTATACGTCTGAACATTGACACCACAATTTGCCTGAATAACTCTTGCTTAGATAAACACATCACCCAAATACTGAAAAACGAACAAGGCCCTACAGTAGAGATTAATTCCGAAGAGAAACGGTCTCCTCCGAAGTATATTTGGTTAAGGTCCATCCCTCCGGATAAGGTCCGAGGACCCGGGATGAATTATCAAATGTAGAAGGAATCAAGACCGCTAAAGCCCACTTAATATTTAATAATCAGGCCTATCTGAACATTACTGCCCACTAAAGCCCAAACGTATACTAGGAAGTGAAATATTGAGGGCATTATGTAAATGGTACGATACTTTATACATATGTATATGGTACCTTTCTCAAGTGTATCAGAGTCAGAGAAGTTGCTTTTTGTACATTTTCCAACCTTAACTAAAGCTTAGTCCACGAAGTTATCCGTCTGAATGGATTTACTGAATACTGGTAGCCTGGTACTCTACCTTCCACCTTTTGCAAAACCCCAAGTCACGTCAGCTAGGGAAATCTCACCCAGTTCCTAAGAAATAATCTCCAAATCGAACGGTAAAGATCGTTTTGAATGTCTAAGTCTGGCCACTCCAAAAAGGTGTATGGTCCACCAATGGAACAGTTCCCATGGAAAAATCAGTCAACCACGTGTATGAAGTAAGTGCAGAGTCCTTAAATTAAAGCCTCTAATCTCTCTCAGTCTCTCTGACACACGCACACTCACACTCAAAGATGTGAAAGGAATGCAACCAAGCTCATCCCTCCAACGTCATACCCACTGGCCACAGCACAGCAACTAAATTTAGCGGGAAAAAGATATCAATCTCTCGTTTCTCTCTGCCTTGTCTGTTCCTAAATTAAACAGAGATTATTATCAAAAACGACACAAGTATTTAGTGGATACCTCCATAAATCCATAAAATTTATCAAAATCGCGATTAATTGCGAGATATTGAGAAAAACATTTTGAAAATAATCCTAAGTCTGTATATCATCTCGCTCCAAACAAAATTTAACAGTAGGCACTAAGCCAGTACGTAGTAGCTGTAGTCTGTATGGGAGAAAATAAATCAAAGGAAAATACTTTACACCAACTCTTTTTTTTTTTTTTTTTCCATGCCTCTGACATTTTACAGAATTACCAATTTACCACCGGATAGGCTGATAGTTATATATATAATATATATCAAGAGAAAGAGAGAGAAGTTTCAGAGCACAGCCCAAGCCTCTGTATTCTAGCATTATCAATAGGACTAGGCATTAGGATCTTGAGGCCACTTTTCCACGATTTTCTTCCTTTCTCCTCACGCTGACCATTATCACGTCTCATTTACCGGCATCTCGGATTCGTTGGGGATGGCAACAAGAGAATGAGGATTTGTCTACGATTATGTCTTTATCTTACTCGGATTGCTCCTCCGACCTCCTCTGTTGTGAGGATGCCGGAGTCTTGGATGGAGATTTGTCGGACTACTCCCAGGATATTGAATATCCGGCGGATACGGAGGAGTCTATCGCCGGATTTATAGAAGATGAAAGAGACTACATGACGGGTTGCGATTATACCGCCAGGTTTCAGTCTCGATCGCTGGATGCTTCAGCGAGGCAGGAGTCCGTAGAGTGGATTCTCAAGGTACAGTGGAATCCGATGAACCATCTTTTATTTTTATTTTTAATATCATTCTTTTCCTTCACCGGCGTGCGCATGTGCGTCTTTGGGCAAGGAGGCTCAAGTCCAGAATAATAATGAAATGCCATCAGGTGCCGGTTTTACGCGGGAAATCGGCACGCGCATTTTAGATTATACTATTGGAGCTGCTAACTTGCGCTCGTAGCCCTTAGCACGCAACCGGAGTTGGAGATCTGATTCATTGATATCCGAGTCCAGCTCTACGCCGCGATGCCCGGTGATTAACCGGAGTCCGGTGATTTCATCCGTCTGATCCACGGCGGCCGATCGTGGTGGGCCCATAGAGAGGTAGAGAGAGAGTCGAAGCAGATATTGCTTCTCGTGTATCGTACGTTGAGTTAATCTGTAAATAGAAGCGATAATCAGCTACTGTTAATGCAGGTACAAGCGTTCTACCATTTCCAGCCGTTGACGGCGTATCTTTCCGTTAATTACCTGGATCGGTTTCTATCTTCTAGCCGCCTGCCGGTAAGCTTTCCGTCACTGTCAGTTAAGACAGTGGTTCACTAAGAACGTCGTCGTCCTTCGATTTTAAATTTAATAAATAAATGACGTATTATTGGCTTTTCAATAAAATACAAAAAGTAACCAACCAAACTACGTTCCTCTTTTTCTGGGACAACGTATACGTAGAATAGAAGTAGTATACATCGTAGAACTAGAAAGGTTCTATCTATACTCCATTGGTGTTACAATGACATCATCTGAACGATCAACGATGCAATTTGATCCCAATGAGGGTGAAAGTTGAAGCCGTTAATTCAATCTTACGACAAACTACCCACGGAAGGGTTTAATTGATTGGACGGTTAGGATCGTCTAATGATAGTCTGACCCACCCAGGTAGGTAGTGCGGGGTTTGTGCTTTAATGCCATTGTTTTTTATAACATTCTCCGTACTTTGAAAAATTTCCCCTCTTTTGCTCCTTTTTAAAGGACACACAGAACGGCCTTTTTGGGAAATCCCGTTCGAAAAATCATTTAGTATTTTTTTTTTGTTTTACCATTATTGTTTTCATTGCAACTGTGAATCTTTGATATGTAGGTTACATAGTATGTAGTGGTTGGATATAAAAGCATTATTAGCTGAGCCCTGAGCGCTTCTTCTATCTAACTTTATTTGTTTTGGGTCCCTACTCACTGCGTGCTGTGCTGCTCTTGATACATGCATTGTAACCTTCATCTGTTTCAAGCCACACAACTGGGATGAACATTATTAATTATCAACATTATTAATATATATTATATTCATCTTTTGATCTTCAGCAAGCAAAAGGGTGGCCATTACAACTTTTATCTGCTGCCTGCTTGTCATTGGCTGCTAAAATGGAGGAACCCCTTGTTCCTTCTCTTTTGGATCTTCAGGTACTTAACCTTGTTTAGTCACTTAAGAGATGGACTTTGGAGCCCTTTTTTCATTTGTTTTGTCCAATGGATTTTTATTTTATTTTTTTCTGTAGGTTGAAGCTACAAAATTCATCTTTGAACCAAGGACAATTCAAAGAATGGAGCTCCTTGTCCTTAGCGCCTTGGACTGGAGGCTACGGTCCATTACACCCTTCAACTTTGTTAATTACTTCGCCTACAAAGTTGACTCAAGTGGAACCCTAATTGGTTTCCTTGTTTCACGAGCCACAGAAATTATTCTAGCTATCATCCGAGGTAAATATTCGTATATATATATATTTGTACGTACCTACAAGTACAAACATACAACTATATTTAAATCTACATACATACATATAAATATATATATATAAAATGTGTAATATTAATTTTTGTATGATATAATTAAAGTAGATTTTACCATGTTGAATACGATGCAGAGATAAATTTTCTAAAGTATCGTCCGTCGTCGGTAGCTGCGGGAGCCATACTCTGTGCGGCCAAGGAAAACCCAAATCTATCTCTTGTTGTTAACCCAGGAAATGCTGTATCGTGGTGCGACGGACTATGCAAAGTAAGGATGCATTATGATTATGGTTGGGCTTTTGGGCATGTGTTTACACCAAAGAATAACTATGCCAACTCGAGAAAGTACCAATTTTTGCAGGATAGGATTGTCAGTTGCTACAGGTTAATGCAACAACTTGTGCTTGACAATCGCCAGAGAAAGCCCCCAAGAGTCCTGCAACAGCTCCGAGTAACCACTCCCGCGGGAATCGCTTCCGGTGATTCATCTTCTTCATCATCTTCATCTTGCAACAAAAGGAGAAAGCTGAACAACTGTTTATGGGCAGATGATGACAAGGATAGACTTTGAGATGAAATATTGGAATGGATATGGGTTAGGGTTCGAGTCCGAGAGAGCAAGAGAAAGGAAATGTTTGGTGGTGGTCCACGTTGGTCTGAAATCCTCGTTATTTTTGGGAGGATTTGGAGATTACTTTGACTTTAGAAAATGTAGCCTAGATTATGTATGAGAGTACTTTTTTTTTTTTTTCATATTTTGTTTGTGTGTGAGTGTTTCAGTTGCCATTAGTTAATGGCTTTGTGCAGATTCCCGGGGGAAGGGAATTTGTTATATTTGTTATACTTTTGTGTGAGAAGGTCAGAGAGAGAGAGAAGTTTACGACTGGAGTCAAGAGTGTGAAAGAAGTGGAGACTGAATTCAAGTAACAAAATTGCTTGTTGAATGAGAGGGAGGAGATGGTGGGGGCCATTCAAGGGTTTTCGTTTTTTGGTTTTTTGGGAGGGGGGTCGTTTGTTTGAGAAGAAAAGGGACGTTAAGTGGGTGGCATTTGGGAGAATAATTAAGGGATTGAAGTTGGAGGTGTTCATGGGCGATAAGTCAGGTTTCTCATTCAGAGCATCATCATTGCTTCGACTTCCGTGTCTTTAGCGTAGAAAGGAGGGAAACGAAATAAAGCCAAGGAAAATAAAAAAGAAAAGGCTCCACATGAACTTCTGGAGTGGTATTTTGCTTGTGTATGGTTGTTTATTTGGCCGGAATGGTGGCCTAACCGTAGCCTAACTATAGCAGGCTTGCGTGCTAGCTACATGAGTCTGTAGTTCCACTTGTTTATTCACTTGTTTTTTTTTTTCCTTCTTCTTTTGAAAGGGCCGAGGGGGGATCGGTCCTCTTCAAAGGCAAAAGTTCGGCTACACAGACACAAAAGGTCTTTGGGGCCTTTTAAGTGGTGTTGTATTTGTTAATATATCAACAATAGAAATCTATTTTATATATTTATTGAGATTCTCAATCTCTCTAGCTTCTTACTCCGTGTATCGTATTGACATTGCATGGCATGTGAGTCACAACAGTACTATTTGTAAGTTAGCCAATTGTTTTATTATGACTGTGTGTTGAATGGAAAGAGCAATATTTGAATTATGCCAGAAGAAACCAGGAGCAAAGTGACGTCCTGGTCCTTGCTTCTGCTGTTCATTAGACAAGACCTCTCCCTGCACTCTTCAGCAGATGGAGAGGGAAATGATGAGAATGGTTCTCTCGCCTCTCTTCTCACGTATCCGATTCCCCCCTCCCATGTCATGCCATGCAACTCTACTCATCCCGAATCACAACAATATGACAGCGAGTGATGAAAAGACAGAATTCCAGCCGTCCGATCAGATCGTAACTTTTTTATACACCACATGGACCACCATCCTCACTGCTCTATTCAACTATCAAAGTATGCACCAAGACGCGTACGTGCTGGAATCTTGGGGGAAAAAAAAAGTTTTATGCTTTAAATATCCGTTTTAAGAGGCCCATAAAGAAAGCCCATTTAAAGTGATAAGAGATTAAGAGGGAGAGGTGTATGTATTACAGTATTAGTAATGCAGATTGACTGCTACCGAGGAGGCCCACCAATAAATTGTCCTATTGCCCAAGATTCCCCGACACATAGTCTATTGTCCACTCCACTCCAGTCTCCAGCCATTTGTTATTTGTTTCCATAATCCTTTTAAACGCTTCGATATAATTGAACACATGCATTTAAGAAAACTTGTTAGTATACATTCCAATAAAACCAAGGCAGCAAGTAATTGCGCTGCAAACAACTTACAGCCGAGTGTAGCAACTAGCAACGAATAGGTGTGCAAACGAAACACGTGACGTAGGTATTAGCTGTCGGTGTTAATGTTAATATATAGGATATCATCTACCCTTCATCCAAACCCCCACCCAGGTAACAATCAACGGTCTCCATTCGTTCTACAATGCTCGGTTTCTGGACTCCATTTAAGGAAGATGGCGACTTTGTCCCCCTTCCATCACTACATTTTTGTACAATTATATTTATTTGCTGTACTTACCTTTTCAATTCAATGCACATGGCCATCAGCCCATCACCCACAAACACCACATCTACAATAGTCCAATTCTATGGATGATGGATCCCACCTCCATGATCTACGAACCGAAACAACAAAGCCACGACACTCTCCCTCTCTCTCTCTCTCTCTCTCAACTCTCAACAATCAATTTGCACTCTCTGCAGCTTACATGATCTCAATCTTGATAACAGAGCAATGTTATGTTGTTACATGTGTTCTATGGTTGGCGATTGGCATCCACATCATCAAGCCTAACAGCCAATAAAAGGGTATCTTGGTCATTTTGTGCAGTGCCAATTTCCACTAGTGTCTAGTGTAGACCCTATCACTGTCGCTGCATATCTTGAATTCTTCATGGCATTGGATTGAGGAAATGGAGGGCTAGCTGGTCTTTTCAAAGATGATCTTATGTGTACTTTTTTCGTTACAAACATGGGAGTGACCCTGAGCCAGTTTCAACATCCTGGACCCCCACCCACCACATACGGTACTTCGTTAATAACCCATTAGATCCTCATCCTCATTATCATTTAGCAATACGGATGTGTGGCTGGACAACCTGCCAGCTTCTCATTGGGCCACAATAAAAAGAAGATGTGGGACATGGATCTTTTTTTGTTACGAGTTGGGCCTCCAGCAATTTAACCCACTCCGTAAGAGGACAATGTACAGTGGGATGTTCAAACTTTTAGAGTGGCGACTGGCGATAAATACGAGGAGAGTAATAAAATAGAAATGACAGAAAGCTTTTGGCTTTTGGATTAGTTAAAAACTTGAAAAAGGACAAACAAATAGGAGGGGGACGTGGAACTCAAGATAAGTGAGTGAGTTGCCCACGAACTTGCTCTTCTGTGTTGGCGTGCATGTAATGTATATATGAATATGATGCAGCAGCAGCAGCACCCAGCACTAGTACAGACTTTTATCTCTTTCTCTCTTCTTAGCTTATTAATTTATTTGAGTCTGCAAAATGCAAATTAAAGGGCTTTTGCAAAGTAGCACCGTGGGTTCCAATTTCCCAAGCCTGGCTCCCACCATCAAATTAAACTGTATCGAACTAGTTATTAATACTCGTGACTCGTGTGTGAGTTTGCAAATCAGGCATATCCCTGGCCTTTCTCATTGGATAACATTTCTGGGACCCATCAAATCCTTTATCAGCATTAATTAATGGTGTCTAAGTATCATCCCCATCCCTCCTCCAACCCACGGACGAGAGAGATGGATAATTAAAACATAAGGTTGGTGATCAACAACCCGTATAGTTGGCTTATAATTGATTATATATAGCTCTAAAGAAAGCTTGTAATTAATTAATGACATTAATTTAACAGTAAATTAAAACTAGAAAAAGGAAAAAAAAAACATGTTGAGAGATAAGACAGAGGACCCAATTATGTATATACTGGAATTAAAAAAAAAGAAAAGAAAAATTAGTTGAAGAAATATTAGAATGGCATCTTTTTGGTATGTTGAAGTTGGGGTGATCCCCACTGAGAAGTGATCATGAGCTTTTTTTTTTTCATGAAAGTGCTGTTCAAAGTGAGGAATCCTAAGAATAAACCCAAAAGCCAAAGACACTTTTGCTATATGGCAATGAAAGGAAGGAGGAAGGGAGCAGAATCTGAGCTCTTTACCAACATCTCTCTCTATCTCTCTTTTCTTTCTGGGGGGAGAATTTCAGCTTTAAGTGGGCATGGGAAAGTGCGTGCGAGAAGAGAGAGAGGACCCCTGGATTTCAACTTTTCAACTTGTCTTTTGGTTGTAAAACAAGCTCGTGGGGTTGATGGATTGCAATGCAGAGGTGATAGCAGGTCCCTAAAAGGAGTCAAAAGTGGGAATGATTCCCAATCGATTTTATGAGGAATGCAAGACAGCACCGCTCTCTACTCTGTGTGGGCACTACCCCCATGCCTTTCCCAGGTCATATTTGTTCAGAAAACTATGCATATTATAAAGAAGGAAACAAAGCAAAAGAGCTATCATTGATAGACTGGATGAGTTTCATGAAATGGCAACTACCCCAAGTTTGGCTTCTTCTGACTTTACCTTTGTAATTGTTGCCTGCCTATAAGCTCTGACCCAACCTAATCGCATTTAACCTTTACGTTGGAATTACTCTGAGATTTCTTAGTACTGATTAATGCATTATGCACATTTGGTGTGTCCACGTTAGACTGGTTCAAGAGTCTGTACTGTTGGAATCTGATCCGATAATCACGAGACTATTCGTAGATTTGACAATATATATTGTAATTGGTTTAGTACTATGTAGCAATAAGGCTTATAAATGGCACACATTAACACATAATGTGTGTCTCAGATCAGAGAGTGTCAAAAGTCCTTGCTGTGACTATTGTATATTTAATTTTTGGCATGAATCAGAGGTTTTAGATCCGTGAGGCTAACGTACGTAGGATATATAAATCGAGAGGGAATTGAAGGATTTATGGAGGGAGGGAATGAAAACCCAAATTAATTAATGAAAGTCTATAAGCATTAATAACTACTGGAATCTAGCTTACAGCAGAAGTGGACTAGATACCTGACCTGTTCGTGTTTGGAGGGAGACTGTGCAATGCATCATGTACTACTACTGAGTCAGAGTGTCCTTATACGACTCACTGAGTAGACCTGGGGCCATCTAAAATTTCGAATCGATTCACATAGGTGATTAGGCCTTGGTAGGCTATTATATGTTAAGTTGGTTTTTGTTTTAGTAGTCTTCTGATTTGAGGGTACGTCCATGTAATCTTCTGAGAGGGGTGGACGTGGATGACCCAATTCTCTACTTTCCAACTCACATTAGCCTCTGGGGATATATGCCACCAAATTAAAGGGCTTTCCTGGAGGGAGCGTGAATGTCGTGTTGTTCTTTCCTGGAGGGAGTGCCCCCACTCCCTCTCCATTCAATTCATGGAGTACTGGAGACAAAAGCCTCATTTGCTCTATCATTTGTTTTTAGTTTTTACCACCACCTCTCTTAGCTTAGCTTCTTCATCATACCCATGACTTTCTATCTCCTTTTTCTTTTCTCATGGCATTTATAGCCAATAACAACAAACACACAACACTTTTAATTAGCTGGAGAGCTGTGCAAGTTGAAGAGCGCGACTGAAAAAGTGGTGCAATCTAGCCGCGCTCCATCGGTTAATACGGTACACCCACTCACCGATAAACTTGCAAAGACCAATTACATTAGCTTCTCTGTTTGCTTCAGGCTTTCAGCTTCAAGTGAAAACTATCATTTTACCCAGATGAAGCCGTAGGAGGTACATTAATTCTTGATACTAAAATTTCAGCCCAGTCTTTATTGAGTCTGTTTTTACCGTGCTTGCTGTTTTTGTTTGTACCATTCAAAATAAGTGGGTAAAACGTAGACTGTGCATTCAGGAAGTAGAAACATACACTGAGACCTGAGAGAGAGAGAGAGAGAGAGTGAGAGGCACCTAATTAGGTTACGGAGGACAATTGGGCACACCTCATTTAGACAAGCCCAGTACAACTACAACCCCGGCCCTTAGCAGGAAAGAAACACCTTTATTTCCATCCTCTTAACAAAATTAATGCACAAGAGTGCTTTTTAAAAGAATTGCTTTTTTGCCATTAATATAATGCTGCTGTGTGCCCAGATCGCCACATTTGTCGAAATCATCATCCCCTATAACTTGTCCAAGATCACCTCCTTTGTTGAAATTAATCATGATTTATTATTATCATGATATTCATTTTCTCATTATATATATAATCATCAACTTTAGAAGAATTTTGAGGCGTCAATATAAGCTAATATTGGTTTGTGTCGTTGCCAAAACTTGCAACAAGAGTGAAATTGAAAATTTGCCGAAGGCTTTGGCTCAACAAATGGAATGTCACATTATCCTTGAAATGTAACCTTGGCTGAGAGGGTCTCACCTCCTTTACGGAGACTTCAG